GGGCACTAGGATTTTTACAATGGCTTCAACTTAAAGTCACCAGCTACATTAACCCCTAACAGGAAGTCAGCCTGTCCTTTGAAGCTTTGAAGCCAAGCATTGGCTTCTCCTCTCTTGCTATGAAAGCTCTGGATGGCATCTTCTTCAAATAGAAAGCTATAGTATCTACAGTGAAAATCTGTTGTTTTAGTGTAGCCATCTTCATCAGTTATCTTACCTGGATATTTTGGTTAACTGACTACAGCTTCTACAACAGCACTTGCTGCTTCACCTTGCACTTTTATGTTATGGAGATGGCTTCTTTCCTTAAACCTCATGAGCTAACCTCTCCTAGCTTGCAACATCTTTTTCTGCAGCTTCCTCAGCTCTTTAACCTTTGCAGAATTGAAGAGAGTTAGGGCCTTGCTCCGGATTAGGCTTCACATAAAAGAATGTTGTTGCTGGTTTGATCTTCTATCTTGACCACTAACACTTTGTCTCAGCAATAAGGCTCTTTTGCTTTGTTATCATTTGTGTATTCACTGGAATAGCACTTTTAATTTCCATCAAGAACTTTTCCTTTGCATAACAACTTGTCCATTGGGCATAAGAGGCCTAGCTTTCAGCCTATCTTGGCTTTTGAAATGCCTTTCTCACCAAGCTTAATCTTTTCTAGCCTTTGATTTAAAGCAAGAGATGCGCGACTCTTCACTTGAACACTTACAGGACATTGTAGGGTTATTAAAATTAATAACTAAAAACAATTAATTAATTATTACAATTAATAACTAACAAATTAGCCTAATTTCAATATTGTTGTGTTTCAGGGACTAGGGAGGCCCAAGTAGAGGAAGAGAGATGAGGGAACAGGTGATTGGTGAAGTAGTCAGAACACATACATTTATTAAGTTCCCTGTCTTACAGGGACAAGGTTTGTGGCACCCCAAAACAATGACAATAGTAATATGAAAGATTACTGATCACCATAACAGGTAAAATAATGATGAAAAAGTTTGAAATATTGAGAGATGTAGCAATATATAACACAAGACATGAAACGAGCACACAGTGTTGGAAATATGGTGCAACAGACTTGCTTAACCCAGGGTTGTCACAAATCTTCCACTTGTAAAAAACACAATATCTGGGAAGTGCAAATAAAAGGAGATATGCCTGGGTACCTGGATTCTGTTCCCAGCTCCCTATTAATCAGTTTGGGGCAGGTAGTAATTGTTATCTCTATAGTCCTCAGTTGTCTCATTTATAATTGGGAAAGTTGTACTAAAGCTCTCTCTCTCTCTCTCTCTATACACACACACACACACACAAACACACACACACATATATTCTTGGTATCCTTCTCATTTGGACTCCTTTGGTGGGCTTGCCAGAAAAAATGTGTGTATTTATTTCCCAGGGCTGCCATAACAAACTATCACAAACTAAGTGGTTTAAAACGAAAGAAATTTGTTCTCTCACAGTTCTAGAGGCTCAAAGTCCAAAATCAAGGCATCAGAAGGGTGATACTCATTCTTAAGGCTCTAGGGAAAAATCCCTCCTGGCCTATCCCCAGCTTCTGAAGTTTGCCTGCATTCCTTGGTGCTCCTTGGCTGGGGGATGTGTCATTTCAATCTCTGCCTCCATCATCACATGCTCTTCTCTTCTGTGTGTCTGTGTCTGTGTCCGAATTTCCCTCCTCTTACAAGAACACCAATCATTATAGTTCACCTTAATTCAGTATGAATGACCTTATCTTAACTTGATTACATCTGCAAAGACCCTACTAACAAATAAGCTCACATTTCATGCATTCCAGGGGTTGACTTGAACATATCTTTTGGAGGAACACAATTCAACCTACAACAATGTATATAAACCTTTTAGCTAACTACCAGTATGCTTAAGTGTGAAACAATCAAGATATTTACCCTCTGCTCTGCATTTCACATTAGTTTGTATGTTCTATAAAGCGGCCTAAAAATTCAAGTATAAATTCATAATGCCACCCCTTTCTCTGTACCTAAGGCGGAGAGAAAGCTTATTCCCTTTTTTCTTAAACAAACTTCAGTCCACTCCAGTTTTGACAATTTATCAAATATTGCTTTATATTTTTATTAAATGTCTTAGTAATAATATCTTGAATTCCCAAGTCTTTAAAGGTATCATATATTTTCTATTCCCCATAAATCTAGTATGGTATCTTACATAAAACAGATATCAATAATGACTTAATTGACAAAATATCACAATGGTAAATATCACCCTGCCAACACCTACCCAAAGGCCCCAGCCACATTATTCCTCTGTGTGTCTCTCTCTTGTATACACACACGCACACTCTGTCTCTCTCTCTCTCTTTCTCTCTCTCTATCTCTCTCTCTCAATACTCACTCCCATACCTGCATATTTTTATAACTCCAAATAAAATGCTAACAAATTTTATGGATTGAGAAGAGGAAATTTAAATTACTAGTTTTCAATGTACTGTCTGTGTATATTTAAAATCTAGAGCAGTGATATCATGAATTATGGAGGGTTATCGGATAAAAAGAGCAGTGGTTTAGAACTCACTAGTCCAGGGAGGGGGGCATGGGCAATATATGTAACCTTAACACTTGTATCCCCATAAAACGCTAAAAATAAATGAAAAAAAGAAAGAAAAAAAAGAACTCACTAGTCCATCTCAACTCTGTTGCTAGCCAGTTATGGGAGCACCTTGGCTCTCTGGACCACCATCCTCATTTAAAACCATGGAACTAAATAGAAGTTTGTTCTATTACCATCAAATCCACAATTCTATAGAAACATCCACTTTTCTTTCTCCCTCTCATGAGCACAGGGTACTTAGGGAAAAATTTTGCCATGTTTTTCAGTATTTGTTCCCAAGAGAAATACTGTTGAGTCAACAGATCATATATTACAAAGTTTATAGGACAAAAGTATCCTGACAGCATACATAATTGAAGGCAGTCTACATATAATTGCATAATCTCATCTCAGTCTGTGAGTTTTAGAAATAAACCAAAAATCAGTTACTTGGCATTTTGGGGAAAGAAAGTTTGAGACTCATGGAACTCATGATTATATTTATCATTTAGGTATTTGCCAATCAGGAAAGTAGGCTTGGTTGTTAACTTTTTTGCATATGGGACAACTTTTTGCATATGGCATTTGTTATTGGTTTATGTAAGAATAACTCTTAATCCATGCTTTTTTCTCTGACCTGTGGCTACCTTAACAGAAGTTTCCTCTGTGGAAATGTGACACTCCCCAACCCCTGAAGTGGCTGTTCCAAAGATTTCTTTCATCACATCCATCAAGACTTACTGGGCCCCACAACACTGTCACACTTTCAGCAGCGAGTCTTGCCATTTTAATGGAAGAGAAACTAGAGATGTAGGTTAAATAAGTCCTCCAAGTTCCTGTCCTCTCCCCACAAATGTGTATTCCTTTTCATGAATCCTTTTCAGCCCTAATAGAATAGGATTTCCTCTTCCCTTCAATAGCTAACATCTTCTCCTATATTCTGCATCTCATTCTCTCCTCCAGTTTTCAGTGGCTTTACTTCATCATTTTCCCCAACTGTCTCTGCTGTTAATAACTTTTCCATTTAAACTTGCTTTTTTCTTCAACTTATAAGTTAGATTTAGTCTCCTCTATCTTTGAAAAAAGAAAAGGAAAAAAAAAACAAAAACAGAGGAGAGGAAAGGAACCTGTAGCAACAGCACACCACCACGTAGCAGCTCTTCTTGAACAATTTTTCCTTCTCAGCACAGCTTCTTGCGAGGCCAGTCTGATATCATTGTCTTCATTTTCTCACCTCCTGTTTACACTTCATGTGACTCTGTCTTATATCTTCACCACTCTACTGGAACTACTCTTAAAAATGTCACTAGTCATCCCCTAGTTGCCAAAATTAAATACCATTTGAGTCTTTTTCTCACTTGCTTTTTCACTGAGAGGCACTTCACACTCTTTCCTACCTCTCTTCCTATGAATGAAAGAGATTTTCCAGCCCTGGCTGGTGTAAAGCGAAAATCAAGCTTAAAATTGATTTAGAATATCACCTTTCTTAGTGAGAAGAATTTCATACCTCTCCAATAATGTTTAATAGAATAAGAATAAACCTGTTGTGTATATATGGGCTATAATATTGTGGGATTAAAATGAGAATTCTGATGTTCCTATTAGCATGAGCACATACAGGTTGCATTGTATCATTTGTGGTTGATGATATTTTACAATTGTTCACAATTTTTCTTAGGTGTATATTTTGCTCCCAAACTAGATCACAATTCTTGTGTATACTACTTATTTAGGATATATTTCATTAGTATTTACTATAGTCAAGGATATGTGATAAATGTCTGTTGTGAAGCTGCCAATACTTAGGTCTCATTTTCAATATCACACATTATTGAGTTCACAATAATAATTTGTATGAAAGTAGATTAATTTTGATCCCATTTAGTTAGCCTGTTGAAATTGTGTAATTTGAGATCTCAGGTTTGATTTGCTTCATCATTTTCAAATATCAACCTAAGAATGCTTTTCAATAAATAGAAATTTTGTTCTTTTTAACAAGGAAATTTGATAGAGAGGCAGAAAACCACTAGGTAAAATATGGAGAAATACAAGAGTTGTGATAAAACGTTACATATGAATTCCTAATATCTGGTAGAAAAAACATTCCTTTCTGTGGACTTGTTTTTTATTCCAACTATTCTAGGAAACCTTTTATGTGTCCTGAATCGTTCTGTTTCAGTATCTGCTCTACTTGGCTTTAGGAAGCTAACAATCACATGACCCCCTCTCCACCATACCCTCCCCTGCTTTCTCACCCACAATTCCCTTTTCCAAGCCCTAGAGATGGGTAAGCATGTCACCCATTCTAGCCAGTCAGACCTCAGCCCCCTGAATAGTTAAACAGTATTCCTTCTTTTTCTGAGAGCACTTTTTCTAAGAAAGGTGTGGCTTAAACACCAGGGGGCCATGTTTGCCATTGCATTGAGAAAGCTTACTTGGAAATGAAGTCATCACAGATACAAGCAGAGACAAGAGTTATGATAGCAATGCTTGATTTTTGGATGTATCTAGGTCTGAATCTGCCTCTTGGACTTCTCAGTTATGTCACCAATGCATTTTCTTTTTTCTGAAGCTTAGTTAGAATAGTGTTTCTGTAAGGGAAAACGGAAAGAACACAAACTGTTGTCATAGCTTAATAAACACTCAGTTGACCAACATGGAAGAAACAATTATGGATTTTATAGATTATTCTCATTTGCTTTCTAGGTATTCTTTCTTTTTTCATTCTTCAATATTCTTCATGAAATTAGATCTGACAGCAATTAGCCACATATGCCATGTTATAACTCCTTTAAACTTCCAAATATATTGTGAACATTTTTCCATTTCAGTAATTATTTATCCATAATATAATCCATTGCTGGAAATTTAGCAGCAATAAAATACATTTTAAAAATCTGGTGGTTTATAAAATTCTGTGATTCATAAACATATGGTTTTTAGATGTAGAGAAATATGTTGATTCTTCTTGGTCTTGCTATTATATAGAATTTTTAAATCAATTACCAAATTTCATAAACCAATATATTTCAGGTAAATTTTCTAATGTTTTTATTCAATGGAAAAAGTATGTTTTTTAAGTTGAAAGTATGCTCCCTTTTCACTTTCAAAAGTACAGTAGAGAAAAATGAAGACAATGAGCACTACCCCAAAATATAACCTAAAAATCATTTTTTAAAAGATCGGCTTAAGGTATCTCAGTGTTCAGTTGCCCTTAAGTGTATCTACTGCTATGCTCTAGTGAATAGTTCAGGAGCTTCTAGAACTCTACATGCATCCATCACAGATGAAAAGTATCCAATAACCATTTTTACTGGTAAAAGGTAAACAGCATTAGAAATAATGTTCACATTTTCACTTCTTGTGCCAGCATTTACTTTTAGATTTCTTTTTGGGATGTGTTTGATTCTTTTTCATAGATCTTTGTTTCTCAAAGACCACTTACAGTACAATCACAGGCAAATTTCACATAAACCTATTGGATCAGAATTTCATTTGTAGGGGAGAGAGGAATTTGCATTTCAACAAACTGTGCTGATGACTCAAGCATTCCCTAATTTGAATACTCTTGATCTAAGCAGGAACCTTGACTTCACATTGGAATTGCTTAGAGAATTTTATAAAATACTGCTGCCTACATCCCATATCCAGGGATTCTGACATATTGCAATTGTTCTGGGGTGAAGAATGGGTGTAAGAATATTTTAAAGAATTTTTAAGGTTATTAGAATTACCTGGGAGGTGATTCTAATGTTCATTCAGGGTTAAGAATCACATGCTCATGCAAATATCAGATTATATTTAAATATGATATGTATAACTAAAAATGAAAAATACTAAAAACAAATGTGGATTTAATCTTTGAATTTTTTTGTTATCCAGTAATTAAATAGATGTACACATTATTAGACATCAACATACTTCCCAAATATACTGATATTCTTAAAGATATTCTTAGTTGACAATATTTTTATGTGCCTTTCTAAGAGCTAGAAGAATTTTTTAAATCTAGAGATTTTATCCCCATAGATACCAAAAAGACATTCAGGATTGCTTCCAATGAATAAAAATAATTTATTGAGCATTACTTTGTGCTCTGCACTGAGATAGACAAAAGATGCATAAAATAAAACTTTTCCTTTTTTTTGCTTTCCCTGCTAGGAAACTGAAAGCTAAAGTTGCTACATTATGACAGTAGCTGTGCATCTATTGCTTTTGGTATGTTACTTCTCCCCACATGGTATCAGTGGTTCTCCACCAGAGATGTGTGTGCTTGAAACCAATTTGTGATTGAAGTACAACACACTGCATTTCTTACCATCCCATGACTTCCGTGGACCCAGTGAACATGTTTGCACCTGTCATTCCTCTATTCTCTTTCACTATCTTATCCTTTTACATCAGGACAGTACACATCCATACAAAGCCCAAGAAATGACTGAGATTAAAAGACAAATGCAAAAAACTACATGCCTTTCCTTCCTGAGCCCTAAACTTTCATCATAGCCCTTCCCTTGTTCCCCAAAGTCATTGACACAGAGCGTTCTGTCTCTCTGCAACCAAACAGGGAACTCTGTTACTTGATTTCTGGCCAGATGGTTAAGCAGTCAGTGTATGGAATGACCACTATGTGCTTAACATTTTATTTGGTGCTCTGAGCGGTGCAAAAGCAAAAGAAGACATTATCTCTGCAGCTCAGAGCTTCAGTCTAATAAAGAATTGAAAGTCTGTTTCTAGCAAAGGCAGACATTCTGAAAAGCTTAAAAGAAAAGCATACAATTTAAAGGTTCAAGATTTGTTTTTAATCTCAAGGAGCTCACACGTTTGGGAGGGAAATTTTAAAAAATGACTCTGATAGCCATGTGAACAAGGGGCCTAGGGTGCAGCCCAAAAAGATTGATTAATTCCAGGGAAATCAGAAATGATAAAAAAAAGTTATATAGAGAGGGTAATGAATAAATTGCATCCTGGAGAATGAAGAGGATATATCCAGGAGGAATAGAAAAAGGTGACTGCTGAGCTGAAGATCAGCATAGAGTTCAAGGCAACAGAGACGGAAGCAGATCAAGAGAATTTTTTTAACTTCATATATATAAAAAAAATCCAATTCTATACAATGAGAAACAATTGGTGTGAAATTCTATGGCTCTCACTAGGATGATGATGCAAGTTTGAAGAAAGGAGGAATGGGTGGAGACTAGAATGATCCTTGGGAGTGGAGCCTGTTGTCCTGTAGTCCTTGACCACCAGGGGGATAGGACAGAATAATCCAGTGTCAGGACACAGCCCTTGAAGCCAGGAGTTGGGCAGAGAGATGTGGGAAAAGCTTGGAAGGACAGGGCAATGCAATGATAGTTGATGAGAGTTTGGGAAAAGAGCTGGAAACCTAGGGCATTTGCTATGAAGGAGGGTGTTGAGCTGGGTAGACAAGGAGAGAGCCAAGAGTCACTCACCACATTAGTACGATCATAAAAATAAATGCAACGGGGGGGGGCAGAATCAGAGTATTCAGAGTATTTAGCAGCAACTCCCAAAGTACAGGTTGAAGCTTGGGACACACGTGCAGCAGATGAAAGCCACATGTAAAGTATTTAAGTATGGGGAATCCATACTTAGATGCAGCAAGTTGTAGGCTAAAACTAGACAAAATTAAGAAAAACTCACAATATGACAAGAAATTGTTCCAATAGAGCCTCATTGTAAGTAAATTCTAGGTAAGCTCTAATGACTGCAGTGAGAATTGGAAAAAATACTAGGGTGAGAGGTAAATACCAGTAATTTTTAAAGATAAAGAAAAAAATGCTTAGAATGAGGCAATGGCCCTGTAAATACAGACATCCCTATAAGATATGAAACACATAGGAACATGGAAAGAACAGAGATCTGGAAGGAAGGGTGACTAATTTCTAAATCTACATTGTCCCTACTAAGCCTTAGTTGTAAAATCTGCTTAAAGACAAGGATACCCTAAATAGTGTCAAGTTCTCCCTTGAGCTTTAAATATTCTGATTCTCCAAACAAAATGGCACAGAATAAGAAAAAAGGAGGTAAAGAGAGTAAGAATGAGGTTCACATGAATGTAGACAGTGTCATAAAATTTTATATGAGATATAGAAGGAAGGTGTTTATTAAAATGTAGAAGTGCCTATTCAGATAACTAAAAGATATTGGTATGCAACTACTACTACAGTGGTAGCTGCTACTACTAACAAAAACTCTGTGGATAGATATAGCAATATGTAATTTAGAGAATGCTGAAGAGGTTCAGAAGCTAAGGGCAAAAAAATCTATTTATTGTCTACTGTTTGCCAGCTTTGAAGTCAGATATTTATATTCATAATGGCTGCTATTTATTTATGGGAAAAAGATTGCTGTTTAACAGACAATACTTGGAAAATTAAGCACGGACAGCTTTTCAATTTGTATACAATTTGTCCATACAAAAAACAAAAAAAAGGAAAAATTGTTTTTACGGGGGAGGGGCAAGTTAGTTTTCTTTAAATGCATTAAATTGTAATCATCTTGACGACGGTAATGTGACATATTTTTGCTATGACACAGTTATAATAATGATATTAACCCAATACTTCAAAAATTTCAGCAAAATGCAACAGTCTCATTCACCAGGCAGGCTTCATAATACCAGTGTCACCTTCTGCCAAACACAATCCCTCTGCCTCCCAGGGATTTCATTACATGAGTGACTGATGGAGAAAGTGAGCCACTCTCTCACTATGCATTAATCTAAAAATGTCAGACTGTGAGTGTTAGTAGTATCATTCCCACTGCTGTTTGTTTTCTAAGTTTTCCTTTTGGTCTAAATAAAAATACTCAGTCCTGTGAACTCTAAGAGCAAGATATACCATTTCCTTGACCTGACACACGGCTCCATCAATATTAATTTGAAACAAACCCTCTAGGGCTGTCTGTGTTCCTGGCCCCATTTCAATACTAACATGTGGTTAATTTTTTAGAGGATTTTTCTTTCCCTTCCTATGCTCAAGAGGAGCCATGGAGTTTGTGGGAAAATGCCGCCTGACTCACGCATCTCTGGCATTTCCATATTTCCCCAAGAGATAGTGAACCTTTTTTTTTAACTGCACATGGTGTTTTAGGAACTTGGAAAGAGAAGCATATCCTAAACACTTAGCAGGTTTTAAAACAGTATTCCTGGACGCATGGTATGTGAAAAAAATTCACAGAATTCTCACCACTTTCTGACAAATTTAGCAATTAATGCATATGTCATATTTATAGCCACTTATATTCTATATGCATTGGTGCATTGTTATTAAGTGCAGAGGTTGTGATAAATACTCATTCAAAGTAGGTAAATTTTATTAAATGACTCATTGCTGACCAAAAGCACAAGGAAGATCTTAAGGAAAATAATGGAGATCTGATTTTTCTTTTTACCATTACTGTTATTTTGTGCAGATAGGGCAATGAGCTATTTTGTTTTTGTTCAGTTTCCAAAGTCCATGAAAATGATCTGCCAGAACAGTATTGCCGTTTCTGTTTTCAATAGCATAAGGAAATATCCCCTTAAAATTCTATTAAATGGACTAAAGACATTTCTTAGGATTATTTA